CCGTGTTTCTTCCCCACGCAGGACCTCTGCGGGCCTTACGTGTTCTTCCTCTTCGCTGGCGTGCTCTTGGCCTTTACGCTGTTTACATTTTTCAAAGTTCCGGAAACCAAGGGCAAGTCCTTTGAGGAAATCGCGGCAGAATTCAGAAAGAAGAGGGGCTCGGCCCCCGCGCCGCGGGCGGCCACGGAGATGAAATCCCTCCGGCCCGCGTAGGCCGCGTGGGGACCGCCTGCTTTTCACATCACAGAAGGAGGACGGAAGCCCTGTGTTTTTCAGTGACAGTTCTTTGAGAATTTTATATCTATATCTTGAAGTATTGTTTTATTTTATTTTTTTAAAGAGCTTTGATGGGCTCTGATCGGAAACGTCATCTAATATTACCAAAGAAAGTATTTTTTTAAAGTTACAGAATCCATGTGTGATAGTAAGACTCTGTAATGAAGGAAACCTGAAAGTCTAGCTCATTTTGTTACACCAAAGGGCAAGAACATTCTGATAGTCTTGGTTCTGTTCTTGATAACATGGTTCTCCTAAAATTGAAACCATTTCAATGTTTTCATAGATACAACTAATATTTACAAATTTGAATCTGATTAAGTTGGAATTTCTTACCCACAGACCTCATACTAAACGAGACATGGCTAGTGGCAGCAAGGTCCATGGTAAAACGGATAACTTTTCCACTTCTCTCACTCGGTTTTCTTCTTGTGTATTGGAATTTTCATTTTGCTTAAAATTTGTATTTTTTCTGTATTTTCATGTGAAATGGTTTATTGAGTATATTACAATATGTTTGTAAAGATAAACTTTTATTTTTGGTAGGCTTACCAAAAATTTTTCAGTATTTGGAAAAAACAACATTTTAGTTCCTTTGGTAACCAAATAGATTTTTTATATTAAACAGTTAAAAAGTTTTACCTGGTAATATACCATGGGTTATCAGTTAATATTAACATCTATTATTATAGACCCATGTTAAACCAATTCATTGTTAGTTCCATCCTTGGAGCTGTGTTTGTTTTGCTTTTTAATCAAGCACAGCGTGGTTTTCTGAGCTATATTATAAAATATACTCAGTGAGAAGTCAGGCATTTTGTATACCTCCTCAAACCCCAATAAACTAAAGCAGTCTAACAGGGAATTTGAAATAAAGATTGCCGTTTGTTTATTTTTAAAAAACAGATGTTCTGAATTAATATGTTTCTAAACAGGTTGAAAAGGTAGGGTTGGAGAATTCCCGAGGATGCGCTCCTGAAACGTCATGAATGTTCAACTTCAGACTGATCAAAATCCCTGTTTAATATTCCGGGAAGACCAAGTTCACTAACACAAAGCAACCATCCCCGGTGCCGTTTCCTCTTCGTCTCAGCAGCATCGGATGCTATACAGGCTGTTCCGTTGCGATTGCTAACATGTAGTGTGCATACCTATGTGCCAGGCACTGTTCTAAGTGCTTCTACCCATGCAGGCAAATTGAAACCACACTGAGGATTAAATAGACTTTTGCTTTGCCACTATGGAAATACAGTTCTGATGGATGCCAAAGGCTTAGCAGGGCTCTTTTCCTCACACAGTGGAGCGCCAGATGCATCCTTATTATGTTTGTTTTAATGTGCGTAAAAACACTCAACACTTTTGTTGTTGTTGTTGCTTACCTTTATGTCCGAATAATGAAAGTATTATTTCTTTTTGCTTTGGCTGATTTTTATTTCCTCTGGGCCAATTTGGGATAAACTATTTTCACTTAGGACTTCTAGACAGTCAAAGTGAGCTTAAATCATTCAGGAGAACTTTGTGTTAAACTGTGAACTCTGGGGAGAAAGAATAGGGCCTCTGAATCGTGCAGGAGCAAGAAGATGGCTCTTGTGTGGCTCTTGTCTTCTGCGTGCTGATGGCCTTTGAGAAGTCCATAGTTGGAGCGATAAAGAAATTTAACATTTTTGGAGGCGATCAATGTGATTTAATCAAATCACTCCTCCTCATCTCATCTCATTTACTAAGAGAATAAAGTAGTAAGGGTTTAAAAAGAACCCAAAACACCGCTTTTAAGTTCTAATTAATTATTTTGACTTACCCACAAATACCAGAAATTCAGACCCTGAAGTTTTCTGCATTATACATTGTTTCCATAATTTTTTCCCCAAGAGATACAAGTGAGGTGAAAAGAGACATGAAAGTGAAATGAGAAGCTGTTAACTCTTCATATTAGGACAAAGGAACTAGCTAAACAATAAAAATTCCTAGGTCTTTAATAGTATACATCATAACAAATCATAAAATTGGCACTAATTATATTTAGTCCCAGGGAAATTGGATGTGAGTTTGCAACCATTTTTTTGTAGTATTCCATCATTTTTGTGCAATTGTTTTCATATTCTAATGTTCTTACAAATGTGATTTTTCTCTTTGCTTGTTCAACGCATGATGACACTTCTTGCCAGGTCTGGTCACTCATCTGCTCCATCTAGCTGGTGCCCACTGTCATGACATTAAAGCCAGGGTCTTCTCTGCTGAGACACAGCAAGAGAATGCCTCCTCCTTGAGGAGCTCCCAATCTTGTAACAGTTCCAGAAGACCAGGATATAAAAGTTCCTATCTGCATCTTTTGCCTTTTGTGAACCTTGATTTAGAGGCCTCTCTTGTAAAATGGGCCCAATAACGTTACCTACCTCGGTGAGTTGTTGATAAGGTTAAATGTAAAGTGCTAAGCAGTGCCTTGTACAAAAGGGGTGCTCAGCAAGCGTTACCTAGAATTACCTAGAATTAGTACTCACGAAGATACTATTAGGATACAGGATTATCTCATATATAAGATAGTCCCAAATTTATCATTCAAGATAATATTCTCTTCAAGCAAAAATCTCCCAAAGACAAGGGAAGGTAAAAATCTGGGGAGATTTTAGGCTATCGAATTCCTAAACCCATACTTGATATTTTTAAGTAGGTTATAAGAGTTTTTACTATATTTTTAAAAATTGCTTTTGCCTAAGTTGTTATTTTTTAAGGGGTATGCATGTAATAATTATTTCTTTGAATAATACTAAGCACAAAATAGAATGTTGTCATTATATTTAAATGTAATTTAACAGGATTATCACCACAGGATAAAACCAAACCTTTGATAACCCTCAAAAATTACAAAAGTATGTAAACCAGTGTACGTGCATAAGCTACGTATTGCCAGTTTATTGTTGGATATGTACCAAATAAAGCAATGTTAGAATATCTTGTGCTCATGGTGTCCTAAGCAGAGGTGCTGAGTAAAGTATAAAAAATATAATTTTTCAATACAATTCTATATCAGTGACCTGAGAAGAAAAGATTCATTGCAAACCACTCAGCCATCTGCTGGTGTTTTTACTGCCTTCTAATTTGGTGAACATTAGAAAGAATCATGATGAAAAGAAACTGGTTTTAGTTAAGAGTATATATATGCTATAGTTTTATGTTAATAAATATATTTTCAAATACTTAATGATGTTTTATTTCATATAGAAAACTGAGATATGTATTAAAAGATACACTGAGGCATAAAAATTTTAAGAGTATATTTGAGGAAAAATCTAGTCAAATCAGGCAGTGCCAAACCGAAAGTGGTTAAGAGTGTTTCACCAACAGGAGCAAGGGGCAAGGCATTTATAGAGACTGGTTGGCTAGGGTGGCTTTGTTTGGGAAAGCCTAGTTGCCTGTCCTTAGACTTTGGGTACCCTTGAGGCATTTACAGGCTTAGGTGTGGGGTTGCTTACATAGGCTGCCAAGGCACCTTAGTCTAGTAGCCTCTTTGTTTAATTGATTTAGCAATGTAATAACACAGATGAATTTCAAACATATTCGACTCAATGAACAAAAACAGTCTCAAAAGGCTACACAATGAATGTATGATTCCATTGATACGATATCTAGAAGGCAAAAGTATAAATGTTACCATCCTTAGCTAGTTATTGAAAGAAAGCGAGCAAGGGAAGTCAAAGATTATTGAACATGGTCAGCTGGGAACACTGAGCCTGTTTGCGTCACCAGGAAGCTACAGCCTCTCACCCTGAGGAATCGCAGCATTGTCCCTCCAAGGGGGTTAACACCCCTCCCTTCCACCTTCGGTACAGGATTGTGTGTGTAGGAGGGGGGAGCAGGGGGAGATAAGCACTTGTGCGATAAACTCAGAATGGCGCAGGGGGAGGTGCTGAACCATAGAGAACTGTCAGTCTAACCTGGGAAAAAGACTGTTGGCTAGGGAGTGGACGCCAATGCAAGCCCTCAAAAGTTTGGGAGCTATAATTCCAGGTGAACAAAGAATCTCTCTCTCCCTCTGTGACCCGCACTCGCCCCACACATCCATGCATTCACTGTTCTCTCTCCATAGCCATGTGGCCTTAGCAGCAGCGTGGCCAACAACTGTGCAGACTCTACACACAGGCTCCAGGCGGGAGCCTGGCTACTGCAGCACAGCAATGGACGGCAGCTGGGAGCACAAGCTAAGCCAGCCAGATGCTGGGCTGGACTGAACTTTAACATGGAACAGAGATTCTGGGCAGTGGCCTTAATTCTGGCCCTACTGAGTGCAAGACTGCACTTCTTCCTTGGTGAGACAAAGATGGGAGCTTGGAGGGGAACCCCCTTAATTTTACATCATCAATAAAGCTTTCCACAAAACCCCATCCTGCCATGGGGGCCTCAGGAAATTATTTTCCTCTCAGCACCCCAAGGACTCCACTTCCACTGATAACAATTGTAGGGTAGTTTACTGGTCTATAACAGGATGTCCCCCAAAAATGTATACACACTTTAACAGCTGATAGCTCAATTTTGAAAATGAAATGTATTTTAATAAACACTACTTTTATAATTATTCAAAGTGTGTGTATACATTTTGGGGGACACCTCACATACGGGGTGGGCAAAAGTAGGTTTACAGTTGTAATACAAATAAATATTACAATAATTACTAAATTATGATACAAGAATAAACTTTGTGTTTTGCATACTCACAACTGCAGACCTACTTTTCCCAACTAAAAAGTAGTGAATTTTGTTGTATGCAAAATTTTAAAAGTAAATTTTATGGTTTTTAAATTTTGGATAAAATAAAAGGCAATGGACGACTTATCTTCTCAAGTCTCTTAAGAGATTTTTTTCCATGTTTTCTGCCTATGGTCAGTCACCAAAACCAAACCAATTAAGCCAGAATAAACATTCTGTTAACCCCGGGTGATCTGCAGCAGAAAAGGAATATGCCGATCGTTAAAATGCGGAGATAACTGTAAAGCACAATTTGAGCTTCTCTTTA